GGCTGAGTAATATTCCATTGTATATATGTGCCACCTCTTCTTTATCCATTCATCTGTTGATGGACACTTAGGTTGCTTTCATGTCCTGGCTATTGTAAATAAAGCTCTGGCAGTGTTTTTAGCTGTAATCTCATTATACAGGAGTGCTGTTAATGTTGTGATAAAGTGTGGGTAGAATGGAAGCACTCACTAGTCTTTTGATTAGTTCTCAATCTTTTAGTGTGCCTGAGTTGGGTATTTCCTATCCCCCAGGTCAGTTCAGCTCTGGTAAAACCCCAGTCAGTTAGGCTCTGATAAAAGTTTTCCTTGAGGGCAGGCCTTGTTAAAGAGAATAGAGAGGTCTGGATATATTTCAAAATGGCTGCTTTTCCTCTCCCCTTGCTAGAAGGACAAGAGAATTTTTCTCCCATCTTCACTGTGGGAACCTGGTAGCGCTCTTGAAGGTAAAATGCATGAAAGTGTGGAGAACCCCCTAAGGCTGGGCCCACTGGGGATTTTTAGCCCTTGAGCTAGTCCACACTGAGCATCTAGCAATTTGTCAATTACAGTTTTAAAGTCTTCTTACTGATACTGGCTTCAGCTGCAGGCTTCTTCACCCAGTCTGCTATGAGTCTCCATATCCACCGGTCTGTCTCTCCATCTTACAGAACAGCAGTTTGCCTTGTGACCTCAATTCTCTGATGGATCTAAGAAGTGATTTTAAGTTTGCTCAGCTTTTTTCTTATTGTGAGTGTGGGAGTGATGGCTTTCAAGCGCTTGACACGTGAAGCCAGAAATTGGAAGTATATACATTTATTTTTTAATTTTCAAAACACATCTAGAAAAACATGAATCTTTCTGAAGTTTCAGCTTACCTGAAAATATTTACAGGCTGTGTGGCTTTGTGCAATTTAATCCATCTCTTCATCTATAAAATAAGCATAATAATAACTACTTTGCTGGATTGTTATAAGACCTAAGTGAGATATGTAAAGCATCTAGCAAAGTGCATGGCTCATATATATTCAATAAATGTTAGCTTTAGTTATGGTGTCATTTATCTTCATCAGAACCCTAGGCTTGAACAGAGACAAAGTGTACAAAGTATTCCCTAATTTAGAAGATGAAGAATCAGAAGAAAATGGCCCACTTGCCTTATTGTCAGTTTGTGACAGAGTCAGGACCAGACTCAGGCTAGGACTGCTGCTGGCTTCCATGGCCCTGATGCTATTACAAGACCCCTTTTCTTAATATCAGATAGCAAACAGCCTGGCCACATTGATCAAAACCTGTCAGATCTCAAATTTACTACTATAAAAGCAGTCCCAAGGACTGCACAGCTGTTTGTCCCACTCTGATGTATTTGTGGGGTTTGCCTGCAGAAAGCATGATGATTACAAATAGAGGGTATTAGAATGATAGAAAAATGTAGCCTGTTACCACGGAAACAGACATGTGACAGTGGTAGTGCCCTGAGTAGGTATGAAAAAGGTTCTGAAGCATATAGAGAAAATAAATCAATATATCTAAAATGTTATAGAACTCAGCAGATGTTACTGCTTTTGCTCTGGTCAAGATGCTCATATCTAATGTGGGATAGTTCTAGCTCCCTGATATTTTCTCTCTAGAAGACAGGAAACCACAATGGCCTCAAACAAAAGAAATGAGAATGGCGGATATAGAACCAGGGCTTAGAGGACCATGTTGAAACTCATAAGAATTATTTACTGGCCATGGTGGTTTTCCATCTTCTAGAGAGAAAATACCAGGGAGCTAGAACTCCTATACTGCTGAGATGATGTACTCACTAGCCCCTATGGGAAGTGCGATACAATTTAAGGATAATCTTGTCCATATTTTTTCATCCTCATTTTTTTCTGAGGGATATGCCAAATGTCCACTGAATAGATGGAAGCTCCCTGGGAGCCCTTCTGTGACACAAGAAGAAGTGGAAGATAGGGCTTTGAGCCCCTGTTATTCTCAGCACTCTTCATGGCATGGCCATTTTGGAAAATAAAGATAAAAATTTTAGTTAGCTCCTTGCCTCCCGCTGTATACCTGATCTATACCAGATTAATTAAAGATTTAAATATGAAAAATGAAATCATGAAAGAACTAGAAAAAAATATAAAGAGCTACCTATATAATGCTGTTGTATCCAAATTTAAAATGATAATGTAGAAATGTAGCTATTGACATAGAAGAAAGTTATCAAACAACATTTTTATTTGATCACATTTTGTAAAAATACATATTTATATGCATAGGAAATTTCTAGATATGCAGAAAATGTTAATAGTGGTTATTTGTGAGTAGTTTTTTTAAGCTATTTTTTTCCTTTTTGGTCCCCTTTTCTATGTATGTAGGTGTGCATGCATTTAAGTATGTATAATGAGTAGTATTTCTGGTATAAAAATAATAAAAGTTAACAAAATTTTTTTAACATCTTTATTGCAGTATAATTGCTTTACAATGGTGTGTTAGTTTCTGCTGTATAACAAAGTAAGTCAGCTATACGTATACATATATCCCCATGTCCCCTCCCTCTGCGTCTCCCTCCCCCCCTCCCTATCCCACCCCCCTTGGTGGTCACAAAGCACCGAGCTGATCTCCCTGTGCCATGCGGCTGCTTCCCACTAGCTATCTACTTTACATTTGGTAGTGTATATATGTCCATGCCACTCTCTCACTTCATCCCAGATTACCCTTTCCCCTCCCCGTGTCCTCAAGTCCATTATCTACGTTTGCGTCTTTATTCCTGTCCTGCCCCTAGGTTCATCAGAACCATTTTTTGTTTGGACTCCATACATATGTGTTAGCATATGGTATTTGTTTTCCTCTTTCTGACTTACTTCACTCTGTATGACAGACTCTAGGTCCATCCATCTCATAAAAGTTAACGAAAAATTTTTAACTTCCCTTTCCCTCTTTTCCCTTGTACATATAGGTCAAACTTCCCTTGTAGATATAGGTCAGACTTCCTCCAGGAATTTATTTTTCCTCAACTAGCCAGTATAATTCCTTAAGTCTCCCCCCTTTAGTACTTTCCTATTCAACTGTAAGTTCTCTGAGAATAGAGTTGTGTTTCATTATTTACTGTGCCTTCCCTAGGTGTGCTCAATAAGGACTAGGTGCATGGTGATCGTCTGATTTCCTCAAAGCCTGCTTTGAAGTCTGATGTAATAGTACTTACCCTTTAACCAGCTGAAATGGTCAGCAACTTGGCCAGGGCTAACACAATCTGTCTGTGAGGCCAGTGGCTGCAATGGCTGTCATCTCACTGCTTTCCCAGGCTGAGGTGGCTGACTGGTTGGCTGGTAGCTGGTTGATGGGGTTATAGGCCTTTCTGTGTAAATCCTTCCCCAGACAGCTTTCTGGTTCAAGGAGGTGGCCCTTCTCAGGCTGTCTCTTAGTCAGTAGTATCTGTGTAGCTGTGCTTCCTTGCCAGAACCTCTGTGTACATTCTCAGGAGCTCTCAATGTTGTTAAAAACATACAAGATAGGCAGTAAAGAAAGAAGACCAAGAACTGGGAGGAGAGAAAGAGAGAACAAAATGAGGATAAAAGAGTGGAGGATCATGACCTTAAGTGCAGCAGGTTGCTTAACCCAACCATAAACATCCCCTGCGCATAATAATACCTACTGTTGCACGTGAAATTACTTTGCCAGGGAAGTCTACACAGACATTGGTTTTCGAGGGACCTGTGCAAGCTCTGATGGCCACGCTGGCAGCCCTCCAAGTTAGAGACTTCACTGACTTCTGATTGAAGTCCGCTCAGACAGAATCTTTGATAGAGCCTGCTCTTATAGGTAAAGACCATTCCAAGCTTGTTGCAAGAATAAAATGAGATGATAGATGGAAATGGATTTTTTAGTCTATAAAAGAGTATACAGGGGCTTCCCTGGTGGCGCAGTGGTTGAGAGTCCGCCTGCTGATGCAGGGGACACGGGTTCGTGCCCCGGTCCGGGAAGATCCCACATGCCGCGGAGCGGCTGGGCCCGTGAGCCATGGTCGCTGGGCCTGCGCGTCCGGAGCCTGTGCTCCGCAACGGGAGAGGCCACAACAGTGAGAGGCCCGCATACCGCAAAAAAAACAGTATACAAATGCTGATCTTTTTGTGAGCTCCTGAGGGCACTGACAGGGGTTTATTGTTGTCCAGTAGGGTCTTCATGGGAGTTTGGAACAGATTTTTAAATATGTGCGCCTAAAGAAAATCAAATCCACCTACAGAATGAAGTGAATTGAGTCCCCAGTAGGGAAAAACATGCCTGCATGTCTGGGAGACACCTAAATTGTGTATGTCTGAGGAGTGATTGTTACCTAACTATGTGAGAAAAGCCTTGGGTTTTCTGAGTGCCCTCGATTAGAAATGTTTTCTTTAGAAGTAATTCCCCAGAAAATGCTTGTGATTTCATTGTCGATGAAACTGTTGGCACTTCTTTTAAAGTGTCTGTTAACTTATGTTAAATTACAGTGGGAGTGCATGTGGCCCCCAGATGAATGTATTATGGTTGCACCGTTTTAATAACTAACAATTTGAATAACGATAAGGAAGTGACTAAAAAGTAAACTGCCGCTGCTCTGCTCCTTCCATGAAAATGACCCTTTTCTCCTTCCAGCTTCAACACATGAGACTTCACATCACTTCCTGACCTGAATGCGTGACTCTTCAATCTCAGGACTTGCATAATTAATGGAATGCCGTCCTAAGGTTGTTGAGTTCTGCATTTCTGGGCATTTCATCTTTATGGCGAAGTATCCATTCCCTCACTCCAAAGACTAAGCCTGAAAGACTTTTCTTCCTAGGGAAGAATCTTCCTTGTAACTTTATTGTTACAACAGTCAGAGACAGATTGGGGAGGTTTGATAGTTGGGTGATACCTTGCCAATAACCTGACCCTTAGCATGGGGCTCCCTCAAATTTGCAGTGTCTTGGGGATTCCTCCTGTGACTGTCTTGAAGAATAAACACTTTATGTTAATTTCCAGTGACTTAGTTTTCCATTTTCTCTTTTTAACAGGTCCAGTTAAAAACAAGAAAAAGGGTAAGTCAAGCTCCTGATTTTGTAAAATTGCTGTCATGTTTTTTCTAAAATTAGAAGAAAAAATCAAGGGAGAAGGATTTCTATATTCGTTCAACGCTGGTTGTCCATTATTTTACTCAATCACGTGTGATCTTCTTGAGTATTGTAGCTTCCAAGGAATAAGAAATATATATCATTTTTCAGTGATGATCCATGAAAGATAGAATTGCTTCCTAGCAACATGTGAAAGTTGTTTTTGCTTTTCTTTCTTGTTCCCTCTTCCATACAATTCAGTTTACATCTCTTTCCTTCATTCTTCCTTACTCTTTCCCCTGCCCTTCTCCTTTCTCCTTTTTTTCGCCTCCTTTATCAAATCAGTGGCCAGGTGTGAATGAAATCCTGAGACTGCTTGTAGGGACTAGGTATACTACCTCTTGAGAGATGTCAGTACCCTATTTTTTGGCCTAAAAGCTATCCCTCTCGTATTTCTCAGATAGTCAGGGAAGGTATTTCTTGCTCTGGGGTTTCAATATCATTTTCTCTGTGATGGAAAACCTCAGCTGTAGTAGAACCCTGATCATTTAGTCTTTTCCAAGAATCTCCTAGTTGAGTGGATCCATTGTGCCGTTGTTGGGTCTGTAAGTCTCCAGTGTACTTGCAATGGGAATGGCCCACGAGTTTGTACAAGTGCTTGCCTGCCTGAAGAGGAGAAACCAAAGACAGAACAGGTTCCAAAAGACAGGACCAGGCAGTGTGGTCCACTCCTTAGGACTAAAAGAACCAACCACGAACGAGTTTTAAGTACCTATTTTTTTCTGTGCTCTGACCTGGGAGGAAAATAGAGTGAAATTCATGAGTTTTCATTAAAATGCTCTAAGCGAAATGATTCTGTCTGTTAACATTTCCGGAGCTTTACAGAGTAGATTATCAATCCCAGACTAGGCCCGAAAGACTGGCTTCAGCTGCCTCCTGCCACTTCTCTGAGTACTAGGGTACTCTGGTGGCTTGAGATGCCATGGCCCACATGGGAAACCTGTGTTCCTGTTGTAAAGAAGCTGAAGAATGGCCCGGCCCCTAAGGACCTGAGCTGAGCAAAATTGGAAAATAGCCAGAGAACTGGAGTCAGTGAGGAAACCTTTCTTTGTGGAGCCTGGGCATTCACCAAGCTATTCTGTCTTTTAAGGAAGTAAATGTGACTTTTTTTAAAATAAATTTATTTATTTATTTATTTTTGGCTGTGTTGGGTCTTTGTTGCTGCGCACGGGCTTTCTCTAGTTGCAGCGAGTGGGGGCTACTCTTCTTTGCGGTGCACGGGTTTCTCATTGCGGTGGCTTCTCTTGTTGCGGAGCATGGGCTCTAGGCACGCGGGCTTCAGTAGTTGTGGCTTGCGGGATCTAGAGCGCAGGCTCAGTAGTTGTGGCGCACGGGGCTTAGTTGCTCCGCGGCATGTGGGAACTTCCCGGACCAGGGTTCGAACCCGTGTCCCCTGCATTGGCAGGCGGATTCTTAAACACTGCGCCACCAGGGAAGCCCAAATTTGACTTTCAAGTGTGTAGTTTTCCGTTCTTATCACATCCCTTTAAGACAGAAATTTTAACAAACCTAGAAAGCTCCCCTGGCCTGGACAAGGACACCCTCTGCTCCTAGCACAAGCCCAGGGATGACTTCCTTCCTTTCTTTCTTTCTTTTTAATAAATTTATTTATTTATTTATTTCTGGCTGCATTGGGTCTTCGTTGCTGCACGCAGGCTTTCTCTAATTGCAGCGAGCGGGGGCTATTCTTCGTTGCAGTGCGTGTACCTCTTACTGCAGTGGCTTCTCTTGTTGCAGAGCATGGGCTCTAGGCATGCGGGCTTCAGTAGCTGTGACACGTAGGCTTCAGTAGTTGTGGCATGCGGGCTCAGTAGTTGTGGTGCACTGGCTTAGTTGCTCCGTGGCATGTGGGATCTTCCCGGACCAGGGATCGAACCTGTGTCCCTTGCACTGGCAGGTGGATTCTTAACCACTGCACCACCAGGGAAGTCCCCTTCCTTTCTTTCTTAATAGGTAGACTTGAGAGCACTTTCTAATGACAGCTACTAAGTTTTTTTTTCCACTCACTCATTCACTAGACAGTGAATAAGCATCTTGTAATTGTCAGGAAGAGAGATACAGAGATGAAGAAAAATGGTTCCTGCCCTCCAAAATCTCCCGGTATAGTTGGAGTCACGGAAGCACACACAAATAATTGAAGTACAGTATTTTAAAAAGTGCAATTATAGAAGCATGAGCTTCCCATGCTTGGTCCCACATCTCAGAGAAAACATTATCTAACCTAGACTTTGAAGGATGAGGAAAAAAGAAGGGGAAGAATATTCCAGCAAAGAAAACTACATACTGAAATCTCTCAGAGGCATGAAAGAACATGTCATGTCTGGGGGAACAGCAAGTAGGCTAGTGATTTACCCAAATATAGGGCATGTGTGTGGTGGGGAGCAGCACCCACTTGAAGTGTCATCCAAGGGGTGAGCACCGAGAGAACACACTTGCTGGTGGTAATGGAAGGCAGCTTTCTAGGCGAGAAGCTCTGAAATTACAAACTCAAGAGATCCCAATGCCTCTGGCAGTGACTTGGATCACTGCCCAGCACTGCTACCTTGTATGTGGGCCACTATTGGGAAGAGAATGCACATAGGCTTTAAACATTTGCCTTGGCTGAAAGTGATTTAGAAGCCATTTAATACTGATTTCCTTGGACACAGTGAATAGACACATGCCTGAAGAGGTAATTGAGTTGTTCATTTAATTTCCATCCCTTAATGGAATTTTCCCCCTCCCATAACTTTCTCTCCCTCTCTCTCTCTCTCTCTCTCTCTCTCTCTCTCTCTCTCTCCCCCCATCTCTTGCTTTTAGTTCATTCTTTCAACAATTTGAGCTTCACTAAAAGAACGTGTGTATTCTTGCATCTAAGACTACACAGGGTAACTTGATAAGTACAAAAGTCTCTGGGCTTTTGTATCGTGAGGTGCTCTGTTAAAGTAAGGAAATCCAGAGAAGGAATACAGTCCTCTAAAGTCATCTTCTTGGTCCAGGGGCCATTTTGTACATGCTCCTCTGTGGGCCAACTTTCTGTAAGGATGCAAGGATGAGAAGCACAGTTACTTAAACCCGGTTGCAGAGGAGCAAAGAGGACCAGCTGCAGAACTAGATCCCAGCAGGAGCTTGTTCTCAGATGCCTTCTAGCATTTTTATAAGTGAACATTCTCTGTTTACACTGCAACCATTATTCATTTTCACTGCAGGAGTTTCTGGCTCTAATTCTTCCAAAATTACATTAACAATCACAGGAGACTCAGTCTTGACACTAAAGTTCACACTACCCACAGAAGCCCCTCTAGCTCAAAAATCACTGTTAGTCCTGGACATTCTGGGACAGAGGACAGCCTACTATGCACCATCGCCTGTGTCTGTGCCACTCAGAGAAGAGTGAGAGAGAAGCAGACTTTATAACCAGGCTAGGGAAGTTTCCTGACTGCCAGGGGTAAGTCAATCCTCCTTATGGAACCTCAGTCTTGGGAGGAAACTTAGAGAAATCATTGAGGCCAAGCTCCTCGTTTTACCGATGGAGAAACTAAGGCTCAAGGAGAGGAAGGGATTTACCCGAAGTATATGTCCGTGGCAGAGCTGAGGCTTACAGCCTTATCTCCTGACTACAGATTCCTTGTTTTCTCCACTACACTAGCCGGAATTGAAACTTGGGCGCTGAATAAGCCTGACTTGGAAGCTGCCCAAATCTGAAGGGAGATGGGTTTCCTGTTCGGCATCTTAAAATTTGCTAGATCTCGAAACTGGGCAGATTCAGTCTTCTGCTGCTAAGTGCAGGGAAAACGCTAAGACTCCTGTCTCTCCGTGAGAGAGAAGCTTTATGGACCTTCCTTGCTTTCCTCCCTGGGGAAGGGGCCCCGCAATGACCCTGTTGTTTCATTGCAAATGCAGATGTGGTTAGACATGGACAAGCGACCTCTTGAGTGGCATTGCCATGAGGATTGGGTTTCTTGAGCACGCGGCATTCTTCTTAAAAGAGGACCTGATACATCAGAACAGGATTCTCCTCCCTGAGAGCCCAGGGAGCCAGGAGGCAGAGTCAGGAAGGAGGTATTTAAATGAGACTTGACAGGGTTATATTTAAAAAGGAAGAAAGAATCACAGGTGAAGACACCATGATGGAGTCTGGGGAAAGGCTCCCATTCCTGAGACTTCCACAAGATTGTGAAAAAGCAGGGAAGGGAGGAAGCAGTCACCCACCTGTGACCACCTGCAGTGCTTGAATTGGACTGCATGGAGCAGAAGAGGTTAAACAGGAGGAACTGGAGGTTTTGGTTCAAAACCACAGTTATGACTCTGTTAACATAGCTACATTCTGGCGGGGATGTGGGAAGGACTGGAATATGGAATAAGAAGGCTGAGACTGCTCTGAAAGGATAGCGAGGAGGAAACGGGGAGGATCTGGTGGCTTGATTAATAATACATTCAAGAATAGGGCCTCTGAGAAAAGACTTTGGGAAGCCAGATTATTTAGCCTATAAAAATAGAGGTTGATAGATGACTTAATGTCTTTGAGCACATGAGGGTTATTGTGTGCATGATGGTAGCTATTCTTCTCTATCTATACAAACAATAGAATAAGAGCTTAAACTGCCACAGGAGGAATTTCAGTTCAGTATACAGAAGAACTTCCTAACAGTGAGGGGGTAATAAACATTGGAACATGTTACCAAGGGAGTTTGAAGAATTTCCTTTCCCAGAGATCTTTAAAACTAGGGTTTAGAGGGGTCAGCTGAGAAAGCAAAAACCTGCCTGCTGCTTCTTCCTCAGCTCAGCTCTGTGCTCTCCACTGCCCCTTCTTTCCTTATGGTGCTCGAGCCCTCTCTCTCTCTCTCTCTCTCTCTCTCTCTCTCTCTCTCTCTCTCTCTCTCTCTCTCTCTCTCCCCCCTTCCCTCCCTCGCCCTCCCCTCCCCCACCTCTCATCTCCCAGACTCCTTCCAATCCCACATTCCCACCTCCATCCCAAGCCCAAGTCCCTGTACATCCCGACTCCTATAGGAAACCTTCCTGGAGCCGATATTCTTCCTAAGGTCAGGCCTGGACAGTAAATGTGAAAGCCACACTCTTCAACAATAGCCCAGTTCTCAATTCTAAAAAGTGACCCATAGGTCTAGCCACTTGGCAATTCTGATCCTTTGGACTTAGCCGAACTGTAACCTCCTTTTTGAAGCCTTCCCTGACCTCTCCAGCATTTTGTCCCTACCACTAATGCAGCACTTCTACTATCGTGTGACTGTGTCTGCTTTCCCACTAGACTGAGCTCCTTGAGGGCCATTATATCTTCAAACCCAACCTGTAAATGATTATTCATGAAACAGGGTAGGGAGTGTGTGTGTGTGTGTGTGTGTGTGTGTGTGTGTGTGTATCACGTATGATAAAAGTATCCACCTTTTTAAGAGCAGGAACTCCCAGAGGGCCGACTTTGTGTCATTAGAAGGCTGAGGAACTCCTGACAGTACATTCTCAGTCAATAACTACAAATGTAATACCTAATCTTGTCTTTCAGGAAAGAAGGCAGGACCTCCTGGGCCCAATGGCCCCCCAGGACCTCCAGGACCTCCAGGACCCCAAGGACCCCCAGGGATTCCAGGGATTCCTGGAATTCCAGGAACAACTGTTATGGGACCACCTGGCCCTCCAGGTCCTCCTGGTCCTCAAGGACCCCCTGGTCTCCAGGGACCTTCTGGTGAGTTCTTCCATCTCTCCACCCTCCTAGGCTCCTTAAAAGTTCTCTAATAGAGCAAGAGTGGGTGATCCCAAGAGCATTTTCAAATGGTGGTGTGCAGTGGTGTGCAGTAAGAAATGCGGGTCTCCTAGTTCAGTAGAGAGCTGGGAATTGAACAAGCCCTGCTCTAACTTCTTATTTATACCAGCTTGTCAAGGAAGAGACACCTGTTCCTGACCTGTCTCAAGCCTTCCATCATAAGCCTTCCCTGACTCTAGGCCTCTCTGTAAACTCATGAGCCAGAGATAGAGGCCCTAAGGTTCACCGGAGTTCCCACAGGGGATGGATTTGGTCTGCTCTGATTCCCAGCATTCAGTTTCACTTACTGATGTTTCATTAGAAATAGGCTATGAGGAGGAATGCTGGGGACTGGGCAGAATGACAAGCCCTAGAGCAGTCTCATCCCTTGAACTCTGAAATGTCTTTCCCACAGAGGTAGACAAGTAGTCACTGACGGTCAAGGAGTTGGCAACTTATGAATCACTCAGGCTGTAGAAGAAGCAGACACAGGCACCAAGACCAACTTGTTGAGGAACCAAGTGCTTTTTGCACTATATCCTTCCCCCCACCACATTGCCCATTTGAAGAGCATTTAATCTCTTTGCATCTTTCCCTTTGGGCCCAGAAGGGCATCCAAAAGATATAGATCCAGATCCAAACCTGCCTAATTGAAGTTGACAGGAGTCAGACTATCTGGGCTTAGGTCAGTTGTTATTTCCTTCTCCTGTTCCCCTCTTGTATCTTGGGGCTTTACGGAAATGGAGTCTTTACGGCTGATTTCTCTGGGTCTTTACTGCCACAAGACTCAGATTCTTTGACTCATAGTTCAAACAGGGCTAATTAGTGTCACCGTGGCCCCAAGAGATGCAGTTAGGGGTTTTTTTTTCATCCAATCTTTCCACAAATATTAATTGAGCACTTTCTATGTGCAAGAGATATATTGATAAGTGGTCCCTGTTCTCGTGGAATTTATGTCCTACAGGAGGAGAGAGACAATTAAAGAAGCAAGATATTTACAAATGGCAATGCGTTCTATGAAGAAAATTAATAGAAAGGGAGCAAAAGGTTAAAGAAGCAAGCACCGTCGTCTCGGGGTCACGTGGTGGCAGGAAAACACTCTCCTCTGTCTCCATAGGCGCTCGGTGGCACTTCCCTTAGACCAGCGTTGGTGAGAGGCCAGTTTCCCTGCTGGTTGCTAGGCCCACTGAAGATGCAGGTCGGGAGCAAGTAAGAGAAAGAAGGGGTGTCCTCTCCTACCCCAGTGCCCTGCATCACACCCTAACTCTCCCTCCATTTCTGAGCCCTGGAAAATAACACTCAGACAGGGCTTCACTACAGGGAGCAAAAGCTCAGTGCCACTGGCTGCCTAGGTGAGGAGTAAAGGAAGTAGAAAGAGCACGCCCTCTGACTGGCCTGTCCTATTTTGCAGGTGCTGCTGATAAAGCTGGAACTCGAGAAAACCAGGTTGGCTGGGAATTGCTCTCTTGCTGGAGAGGAGGGAAGACCACAGGCTAGAGCCACCCTTGAGTTTGCTCCCTATTAAATTTGCTGAGGCTTTATCTTGTGAGGAGACCCTGGAGGTTCTGAGGTTCTTCATTCACAGCCTCCTCCATCTCTATGAATAGAAAAGCTTTGCCCCAGGGCCCGCCTTTAGCAAGGGAACTGAGTCTTGTCATGGCCATTTTTCCCCATTCCCCAGGAGACAGAGGGTCACCATTGCCAAACCCAATAGTCAGCTTGCCAGTCAGGCCTATTCACCTGGATCTCTGCCTCCCCGGCCACCCCAGACACCTTGTCGGCCCTCAGACCACCTGACATCAGCAGCTTAGAAGTTTAAGAGTATGTCCTTGAAAATCAGCCAACCAGCTCTGGGTCAAGCCCAGCCTAGACTTCTGCCTTCATGGCCTGAAGGGCTCCTCCCTAGTCTCTGAGCTTCCTGATCCGTCTCTACTGGCAGGTTCCGCCACCTCGCCTTGTCTCATCTCAGCCTCCCTCACTACAGCTGTTTGGTCACGGCGATCAATCTACACAGTTGCACGGTGCTTGATGGCTTGCAGGGCATTTTATATTCGTCACCTCAGTTGATCTTCAGACATCCCTGTGAGAGAGGTCAGACAGAGATTCTCATGATCCCCGTTTAACAGTTAGCGAAATGAGGCTCAGAGGCATTACATTTGGCTGAGGTCACACAGCTATGAAGTGGCAGAGCTACAAAATCATATTACCCTCTAGTAGAAATGTGGCCACTCGCATCCCAAGAAAGGGGAGAGGGATCAGAATTGGGATACAAATGAAGACTAGAAACCAGAGGTGGAATCCTGGCAACTGGTGGCTGGGCGAGCATCCATTTCTCACAGTGACTACTCTCTCTGTCCTTCTTATCCTCCCAGCCAGCCGTGGTGCATCTACAGGGCCAAGGGTCAGCAATCCAAGTCAAGAATGGTAAGAGTCAAAGTAGGCTCTCTCCCTAAGGAGAGTTTCTCCTCCCCTTACCCCCAGCCTTCAAATAGTCACCCAGCCTTGTTCCTCCCAGGCCCCTGAGGTACCCTTGACATTAGGGGCCATTCTCTACTCCATTTTGCCCTCTGCTGGCTGTCCTGAGTAATTGCTTGCCCTAAGGTTACTACAGATTGCATTTAGAATCGCTGATGAGGAAACTGAAAGGGACTTGAGACATTGTCTAAACCAGGGATTCTTGGGAGGTGGAGGCTGAATCAGAGTCACCCTTGGGGATATGTGTAGTTTTATCACCATTTTCACAATACAAATTAGAGAAAGTAGAACGACATAAAATCGAGTCTTCTTGTCTGATGGGTCTACACAGAAAGTGGGTGGAGGAGGCATTTCTCTCAGGGAAGTGGGGGGCATGTTAGACTCTCCAGGGAGTATGAGATGCTAGTGTCTATGAAAAGGGGGGTGGATTTCAGGAGGTTAGAAACCCTAATTTAGTGTAATCCCTGCATTTAAAAGGTGGGGAAACAGAGTGCCAGACAAATTGGACAACACCATACTAAATCTACTGCCTTATATCTGTATGGTACTTTAGAGTTTTCAGCATACTTTCTTTGTCTTTGATTTGATTTGATTTGATCCTCACGACAAAGGTAGGCATTAGCTCCTTTTTACAGAGGCAGAAACTGAAGATCAGAGAGGTTAATTAACTGGCCCAAGGTTTCCGTTAAGTGTAGGAGCTGGGATTCAAAGCCACATCTGTTTGACTCTCTCCACCGCACTATGCCACTTCAGAGATGTGTGTGTATACTCCACTGAATGATTAGCTTCATTTTCCTCCTCAAAGAGACATGAACGTTCATTAAAGAACAGCGCTTTGAGATAATGTCCAGTCCCCAGGGTGCACAAAGCCTAAAATGCATGAACCCCCAGGAGCCTCGGGAAGCAGCAAGCCAGCCAAGATGCCAGACGCTTACTGGGAGGGGCTGTGAGTACAGAAACAGTAAATGAAGGTTCAGAAACCTGCTGCATGGGGACAGCTTCTAAGAGCCCAGTCAGTCCTGAACTGGCTGTGCTCCGCTTCCTTAATGATCGGGCTTGGCTACATCCTGGAGTGCCACCAGAATGCCTGACTCAATCACCTCAGAAATATAAGTAGGAACAGAATAGCACCAAAACCTAAGCAGTCCTGCTGGGACCAAGTACCTTGGGCCCCAGGGCCCTGGATGGGCCATGATCACCATCTGTCCAGAGAAGGGTGAGACAGGCAGGAAATAGATTTGTTTGGGTGTCTCGATGGGTGGCCTCAATGTTACGCCAGAAGCTACTGATTTTGCTCCCACCACGTAACAAGACTGGTTCCAACCCTTCTGGACCAATCCCCGGCAGTAGTCTATGCTGATCTTTAGTTCCAACAGAAGCAAGAGTGAGAGCATCAGGGCTTCCCTGGTGGCTCAGTGGTTAAAAATCCGCCTGCCGATGCAGGGGACATGGGTTCGAGCCCTGGTCCGGGAAGATCCCACATGCTGTGGAGCAACTAAGCCCGCCCGTGCGCCATAACTGCTGAAGCCTGTGTGCCTAGAGCCCGTGCTCCGCAACAAGAGAAGCCACCGCAATGAGAAGCCCGCGCACCGCAACACAAAAAAGAGTAGCCCCCGCTCGCCGCGACTAGAGAAAGCTCGTGCGCAGCAACAAAGACCCAACACAGCCAAAAATAAATAAATTAAAATTTAAAATAAAGAGTGAGGGCATCAGGGGTAGCAAGATACCATGCAGAGCGGTCCTCCGTGAGGGGCAGAGCCAGGGCATCTCCTCCAAACTCCTATCCCATCTGCTTATCACCTTAAGGGAAGACGGGCACCTTTTCTAGAAGGCCAGTTTCCTTACACCTCAGAAAGGCAGACCTCCTGAGACTAGCCAAGGATGGACTTTCAAAACATATTTTCTTGAATTAGGAATGGATGGTTTTGAGGCGAGAAGCCTCCTTAGGCCTGGACTCCCTCCTCTTGAGGTGGGAAGGAACATCCCCCTTGCTGCAAGATGGAAAGGGAAGCTTTTCCTCCTCCCTCAGCCAGCCGCCACCACCCAGCCAAGGTGGAGTGACTGACCCTCCACCCCATATGGGGTATTACTGAGAGACACGCTTTGCTGGGGTGCCTCAGTGGCCAGACACCCTCTCCACCCCTTTGGTTGGTTCTAGTGCTGCGTTGCGGTCTATCCCTCACTCTCATAAGAATCCCTCTCCCCTACCGGGCTTTATTACTGGTGGTCACTACTTGCTCCGGCTGCCATGAAGTCTGACTCACACCTGGTCCCTAAGGTTCTCCGGGTAGACAGTTCCTTGGGCTGAGTGGTTTCCTGGGGGCCCAGCGAGGCTTTCCAGAAAGGAGTGGGTGTGGAGGTACTATAGAAAGGAATCTCTTAAGGACAAGGAGAAAACCCATGAACCTATAAGACAGGAGAGGGATTCAGGAGCTATAGCTGGTGAGATGAAATGGAATAATAAGACCTAGCCTGCCCCTCAGTGTCTGGATTTTGCCTGTGCAGGCCCCAGAACAACAAAGAAAATAGGGCAGCGTGCCCGCCCTCTTCTTACCTCCCCCCCAATTCCAGCTAGAAGGTGTTGGTTAAATATCGTTCCAGACAGAGGGGTCAGGAAAGGAGAGAAGCAGAAGGACAGGCAGACCCCACGGGCCTGAGGCAGGCCTAGCTGCCACTTTACAAACAGACTGCTTTCTCTGCTTCCAGATGCTGTTCTTAAAGCTTGGCATCCTGGGTTATCCAGGTTGTATTGGGATGGGGCTGGGGGTTGTGTATGGCTTGATATTTCTTGTGTTTATTGCCCAGATAGTTCTGACATGTACTGAGTGACTGCCCTTCTCTCATACTGAGATCTTTCAGGTGGAGTGCTCAATGATTGGTCTCGCATCACCATGAACCCCAAGGTGTTTAAGCTACACCCCCGCAGTGGGGAGTTGGAGGTACTGGTGGACGGCACCTACTTCATCTATAGTCAGGTAGAAGTGAGTACGGTCTCAGGCCTAACTCTTCTTATATCCAGAATGCAGATCTCGTGCAGGCCACAGGGGGGCACTGTGGAGCCAGCCCAGCCCAGCCAATGGCTAACGTCCTGCTTTGCGGGGGGAGGGGAGCGGGGAGGGCGCACTGGGAGGGAGTTGAAAAGAGGGAGGAAAAAGAGAGGGGGCTGTCTGGGGTTTTTTCCTAGCCAGATATGATTGAAAAACTGAAAAGAGGCCCATCCCACGCCCTGCCATCTGATTCCCTCCTACAGAGCCCCAGGCCCTAGTTTCCCCACTGAGTTGTTTGGTTCTACTGCCAAACTTGAACTCTGCCTTAGTATATATTCTTTGCAAGTCAGTTCCAGGGCTGCTGAGGACCCCTTCCTCCCACACTACTGGCTTTATAATGAAGACTGAGAGTGCCCCTCCGGACCTTCTCTCCACCTCAAAAAGATTTCTGTCTTTCCTTCTTCTTTCTCCCATTTGTTTCTCTACCTTTCTGCTTCTCTGTCATTCTTGCCTTCCCCCTGCTGTCGTTCTTCAAGCCCTTTTCGCCCTCTGTTTTTGTCCTCATCCTGGTCCAGGGCCCACTCCCCAGGTCGACCAGTGCCCATCCACTTCCACCCCTGTTGTTTGTCTCCAATGGGGTGTCTCCTCAGAGCTAGCGGTGGGCGAGCCTTGAGGCCGGGGCCTCTGAGGGGCGGGCAGCAAGCAGGTGGATGGACAGAAAGACGCTGGAGCCGGCAGAAGGGTCTCCCAGGAGAGTGGCCAGAGAAGGTGGGTTCACGAGCATTTGCTGAGCCTACTGAGCATCTTGGCACAGCTTGGGTCCTGACCCAAGAAACTGTATGGCGCCTGAATACACTGCAGCCTCCTGAACAGGCTGTGGTGGGAACAGCCTTCCATAAAGTGAGTTAGGGCAACAGATGAGTGTCCCAGTCCCCAGGGGTATGATCCCAATGTCCTAAGTGCCATTTGGTGGGGGTGGGGATCAAAGCTGGCGGTGGGGTGTGAAGGATAAGGGTAGTGAAGAAGAGAAAAATTAATTTTCTGGGCCTGGTATAGAACTGGGAGTGGCCTCAGGCCTTGTACCCCACGCAAACTGGGAAAATGCCCTGGACATCATGCCACTGAACACAGCTTAGCACTTCCTTCTGGCCACGAAGTTAGTTTTGCCCTTCCACACTCTTTATCTCATTTGTGACGGATAGTTCTCCATCCCTCTGCATCTGTTTCCTCAATCATCAGACGAGAGCGCCAAGGGGCACTGGGAGAATCAGTGAGAGAAATTCAGCCGCAGGGTAGCAGGGTGTAAGCGGAGAGAACTGGAGAACTCGCAGATTGTTCCTGTGCCCTCTCTGGGGAATCAGTAACCGCTAAGTTTATCTACAAATGGTCCCTGGGGCTGGAAATTGGACATTGATTCGCCTTCGTTTGTGTCTGTAGCACTGATCCAGCACCTAATGTGTGCCGAGAACTGTGCTGGAGGGCAGGGGGCAGGGAGGGGGCGCTGGGGGAGGTAAAGGGGTGAATGAGGCATGGTTCTGGCTCTTGCAGAGTCTCCCACCCGTGTGCTGTTGAAAGAGGTTTGCTTAACCCCCTGAGCCCAATGGAGGGGAGGCATGACAGCGAATAAGCCTGTCGCCCCGCCCGTCCTGTTGGCCGACTAGCGTGCCTTCAAGAGGTGCAGTGGCAGCTCACGTGAGCAGGTCGCGTCTGCTGGTCACCGGGGAGGGCCCACCCTCTCCTTCTGCTCGCCCCCAATCCCTTCTCGTTGCCTCTCCCCCAGGTATACTACATCAACTTCACTGACTTTGCCAGCTATGAGGTGGTGGTGGACGAGAAGCCCTTCCTGCAGTGCACCCGCAGCATCGAGACAGGCAAAACCAACTACAACACGTGTTACACGGCGGGCGTCTGCCTTCTCAAAGCGCGGCAGAAGATCGCCGTGAAGATGGTGCACGCCGACATCTCCATCAACATGAGCAAGCACACCACCTTCTTCGGGGCCATCAGGCTGGGCGAGGCCCCTGCATCCTAGATTCCCCCCCGCTCCCCAATCCCGTTTTGCCCCTGCCCGTGCTCCTACCCCAGGTTAGGGAGCCGGGACTTCCAGAACCTAAGTGCTGCTGTGGAGTGAGGTGTGTGGGTGTAGCAGCCACAGAGAAAAATGCCCCAGTGCTATTTATTCCCCGGTGACTCCAGGATGACAAGGTCTGCTTGACTTTCCAGAATGACCTTGAGTGAACAGGACATGAAGCAGAACCTTCCTCCTTGGCTCCGTGTTGACTGCTTTTGGCATGACTCTTCAACCTCGAGGTCCCGGGTGTCATTTTGTTGCACTAAAGTGAGGGGCTCAGGCAGCAGGCGAGAATTAGCAAAGGTGCAGCCCAGACTGTGGGGCGAGCCTCTGACCCCGAAGGGCAGGGCGGGGGCGGGGCAGGAGGGGAGCATTGCAACCTAAAGAGAGGGGCGGGGAGGGAAAGGCAGGTGCTTGTGGCAGAGCCCAGGGGAGAAACCTGCCAGATGGTTTTCCCACTCTCGCTGAGCCGCGTCCCGGCAGCTGGCAGGGCTTTGAGGACAGGAGGTTTGCTTTTCCTTGGAGCAATTGCAGGGCATGGCCAGAAACCTGCCTGCATAAGAAACAGAGGCCGTGCTTGGGGCCACATGTCTTTCACTTTGTTTACAGCTGTGCTCCAAGCTCAGAAGACTCCTTGGGTCCCCCCGCAATTGTCCCCTTCCCAACCTGGCGAGAACCTCCGTTTTCTTCGTCCCCAGAGCCTACCTCTGTCTGAGACAGGTGCCTATCCTGGGACCTGCGTTTACGTGAGTCTGGGATACTCTTTAGATTACCTGGGCACAAAGGAAATTTTCCATTTATTAAGCAACACAAGTATTCATCTAGTCGAGTCGTGTCTGGGGGCAAAGGGTTGGACTGGATGACCTCCAGAAGTTCCTTCAAATTCTAATATTTAGGCAGCTGCCAGGCTAGCCTGCTAACATTCCCAAACCCTAGACTGACCCTGGGCCTCGGCAAGACAGAGCTTTTCTACCTGACCTGGAAAGGGTAAGAGCTGAGGCTAGGACAGGGTTTTCTTCAAGTGTGTTGTAACCCAAGTGGTCATTAGCCCAGGCCTTGTCCGAAAGGACAGCAGCCGATGCCCTACTAACCACATCCCCCTTTCTTCTCTCTGGCTCCGGAAAACCACAGCACAGCACAGAGTCACCATAGACTCCAGGGCTGCTCCCCTGAATCCAGGCTCAGGAGGAGGCAGCGTCTAGGCACGGGGCAGGGCTCTGCTCTCTAGTCAGGCCCAAAGACACCTGCCCCCACAACCCCAAGCTTCCCATCAAATCATATGACAAGATCATTCAAGGGCCTTATTTCTAACTGCCTGGGCCCAGTCTAGGTGCTGAGCCTAACCCAAAGCTGGGAGGGCCAGTCTTGTAGAATCTGCTACTCTTACTCCTGAAACAAGTTTCCTTTTGAGGAGAGAGGGAATAAGCTCCTTCAGGCAGCTGAAATCCACCAAGAACAAGAGGTACTCATTTCTCTGCTGTGCCTTCCCTTTCTAAGCAAATACACTGCTTGACCCTTCAAGGGTCAGGGCTAGAGGGGGTGAGCTACGCCACCATCGTCTGGTTGCTAGTGATAGCCTTGCCACCCCAGCTGAGGCAAACTTGAGGCATGTGTTTGGCCCCAGCTCCTATAAAGTGCCTTAGACAGTCCTCAGTTATAGCAGGATCTGATGAGAACGTCTCCTTAAAGTCTGTAAAGTGCTTTCTCTCGTATCTCCTTTGATAATATTACCAATCCCATTGTTTAGACGAGGCTCAGAGAGGTTAAGTGCTTTGACCAGCTTAAGTCACAAACCTGGGGCTTTCAACCAGGTCTGATTACAAAGCTATTCTGTTCTGCCCCAGCATTGTGTTGAATTTGGAATCTAGAGAGAACCAATAAAAATGGTAATATGGAGCTCAAATCCTTGAGGGACCTAGGGAGAAACCCAAAGAGGCTAGTTTTCATTCCTTGATGGTAACGCCTCTTCTCTTGGCTGCCAGGGGCTCTGGGGCAAAAGAGTAGGCAATTCCTTTGGAAAATACCCATCAGCCTTAGAGCTCTTGTGTTCAGAAGAATCATCTTGGTACCATGTCCAAGCAGCAGGCCTCCAGTACCCACAGAATGGATGCCCCTCATGTTCTTTCATCCACCCAATAAACCAACCAACCATTGTGTATGGAGCCCCAACTGTGGACAAGGACCTCCTCTGGTTACCCTTCAGCCAGGTTATAGGAACTAGCCACTTCCTGCAGCTACCAAGTGACTCCTTATCTCTTTCTGCCATACCACAAAGACCTCTGTACTACCAGGATCTCTCAGGGATGCAGGGAAGACCTGAGAGAGGTCTGGTTCTAAAGCCAAAAGGGTGTGAGATGAAGGAAGGAAAAGGCTTCTTAATTGTTCCCCTAAAGGAACATTCTGACATCCACCCTATTCTCCAGATATGCAGGGGATTAGAGGGGAAGTAGGATTCGCACAGGACTCCTTTATTCATTGAGACCCCTCAAAAGGAACCCTGGAGGGAGAGGGGTGATGAGGGGAGCAAGAAGTAGCCCTGTTGCTGCAAAGTTATTGAAGCAGTTTACTCTTGAGAGAATGTGGAACTAGATTCACACCTTGGAATTACGCAGATGTGGCTTTTCCAGAAGGCCAAAGCTAGCATAGAGAAAGGGATGAGGGCATTTGTGAGCAAGTGGATGACAGAGGTTTGAAGGAGAATTGCATGGCGGGGGCTTTGCCAGCTGCTTCGGCTTCAACAGCCAAAGCTGACACAAAAGGCAGCTATGGAGGGCTGTTCAGCTACTGGTTCCTCGGAAAATGTTGTCTTTGCCTTATTTCCCCCTTCATCCACCCTGGGCCAAATTTCTTTTGATGAGCAGTAAAGGGCTAGGGACCCTGGAGGTGAACAAAGACTTTGAGCCACGTGTGAGTATGTGTGTCTTATGTAACTTGTGGTGGATGCAAATAGATTCAGAGAAACAGAGTTTGAGAGGCCCTTAGAGGGAGTCTAGCCCAACCTACGTTCTACCCCATGTTACTCATGTGGAAACTGAGGCCCAGAGATGGAAGGCGACCAGTCCGAGGTGAAGGAGCCCCAACCTCCAGGCTCAGCAGGGTGAGGGGGGAACAGTCCATGTCCCACACAACCCCCTTATTTCTACCACCCACAGACTCGAGGCTGGAAGTTCTTGGCCCCCATCAGGAGCCCGGCCAGGTGGGGAAAGCATAGCCACAGCCTTGGTCAGAGTGCTTCCTTCCCCAGGGCACTCTCCCAGCTTCTGCCTCTGGATGGAAGGCTCCAGATGGGCCCAACACCACGGAGTCCTGAGGCCACTCTGGCGCTGCCTCGGGCGCCGTCCCTGCCTGGAGGCTTCCCTAGGCCATGTGAGCACAAAGACGGAACTGGATTTTTTTTTTTTTTTTTTTTTTTTTGGTAATCCTTTTCAGGGCTCTCTCCAAGTAGAGTTGGGGTATGTCATTTCTTTAGTCAAAAAGCTTCCAGCTGGGGTGTGGGGGTGGGCTTTGTGGTGAGGATGGCCTGAAGCAGGCCCAGTGCCGCTTTGGGGGTCAGCATTCAGTGTGAGATACTGTGTATATAAACTATACATAATGTATATAAACTGGGATGTAAGTTTGTGTAAATTAATGGTTTATTCTTTGCAAATAAAGCTTCTTCCCCTTGTTCTTAAGATCAGCTTAAGCACTTCCTACCTGCTAGGCGCTTCTTTTTTTTTGCTGTTGTTCTGGTGGTGGCGCTGGCGGTTGGCCGTGCCCTGTGGCTTGGGGGATCTTAGTTCCCCGACCAGGATTGAACCTGTACCCTCAGCAGGGAAAGCCCAGCACCCTAACCACTGGACCGTGAAGGAATTCCCACTAGGTGTTTCTTTGACACCGCGCATGAGCTTGGGGAAGGACCGAGGCACCCATTTCAGAAGGGGCAGCAGGAGGAAGGTGGTCTGAATTTCCCGTCAGAACATCCCGCATCTTCTCTGCGCGCCAGCTCACACGCACCCATCCCCATCACCTAGGTCTCTTCCTGTAACCGCATGTCTGATAGGCTAGAGGTCCTGCAAAAAGGAACATTGTCCTGAGGCAAAGACAGCAGGGAGTCACCCTCAGCTTGAGACCGTAGCATCTATAACATTCTTCAGGCCTCAGCCCAAAACAGCTTTGGTAGATCCAGCCTCCGGGTCCCCATGATGTATCGTCCCATTTTGCAGATGAGGGGACCAACGTTAAAGAGTTTAAGTAGCTCCCCCAAGGTCACCCAGCTAGAAAGGTTACTTAAACTTTCAAACAACTGTTGACAAGATCCTACACTGTAAGCTTTCTTTTTTAAAAAATAGATTAGGGATTTCCTTGGCAGTCCAGTGGTTAATTCCCCGTGCTTCCAATGCAGGGGGCATGGGTTCAATCCCCGGTTGGGGAACTAAGATCCCATGTGCTGCGCGGCCAAAAAATAAAATAAAAAGACAAACTTTAAAACATAAGAATAGATTAGAATGTTTTTTTAATTGGATAAACTTTCTTTTAAACATTGAGATGCCATGAAATTTAGGGCATTGCTTGCTCAGGGACGGGAAGTGGGCAAAATGGTTGGTGGAGAATAATTTTGTGTAGCTCTCCAGTTTACAAAGTTCAATCACATTCGATATCATCATCCCACCAGCCTTTGAGGTAAGCAGGGGAGGGACTATTTGTCCCATTTTACGGATGAGGAAACAGGCTCAGAGAAGACTGATCCAAGTCACAGGGCATGAAGGTGGAGGGGCCTAAACTCAAAGCCTACTGGATCTCAAGGCCGCCAGTCCTGGAGGAGCCTTGATGCCAGAAGTTGGGGTTGCTTAAGAGCTGGAGAAGAAGAGACAAGTGCAGGGATACTAGGCCCTCAGAACAGGCTGGGCGGGGCCAGGCAGTATCAGAAGGTGGGCTTTTTGTTCTGTGCCTTGTTTTCCTCAGTGTTGATGCTGAGTGGGCATGTGTGAGGGAGCTTTCAGGACCCCTCTCCCCCAGGGCCTTCCCTGGCTTTGGGGACGTCTCCTTGTAACCCCGAGGAAAAGGCACAGAAGAGCTAGAAGGAGAGAAATGGAGGAAGAAGGATCCAGAAAACAGCCCAACAGGCACCCACACGCACGTACCTGTCGCAGTG